CCGATCATATAATGTACTAGATGTGTTCGGATATAATCTAGTTACGTAAGTCATTGACGTATCGTCCTCGTCGCGCTGGCTAACGATAGCTATCTATTATATCGATATCCTGATTAAACCGTTACGTCAGCCGTATCACACGAATTTCCCGTGCTACGTCGATTCGTATCACAATGCGAAGTGCGTACACGGCGATAACGAGAGACAGGTAATTACTTAAGGTCCAGCAAAGTCCATTATATGTCCCAAATACGGATTTATGGATAACGCACTGTCACGAAGGAACTCGTACACATAGAAAGATGTTTTGTTGAGGTTTTTAAAAATATAGCAAGATACAGATTTGAAAATAATTTTATTGAACTACAAAAATAATTGTGTAGGACACTCAAACTGATTTGTAGAATATAACTTTTTTTTCAGTACTGCTCATATATTATGCTCAAGTTTCCTATATAATTATTTACTCAACAAAATTATTTTTAATTTGTATATAGCTAAGTCTTCAGGTATTTCAGAAAAAAAAAATTGTTCTTTCCATGTTATAAATCTTACGAAACGCGACCGAGCGAAATACAGTAATCGACACGGGAATACGATACTCACTAATCCTAAGATGCATGTTATGATTCAGTAAAATATAATCACAAATCTAGATAGAATTTTATAACGAATTTTGATACATTTCTTCAGCGAAAGACGGAAGTCAATCAGAGCTTGAAGCGCAAATCTTCGACTCATCTTTGCCCATAATCAAGTTAATTCGTTATACTGTTATCAACCAGCTAGTGCCACGTCTAATCTCGCAGTCGTCATAACTAATGTAAACCGATCGTGTGTCAAAGCAATACGACACGAGAAACTGCAAAGTGTACACCGATCCGTGTTTCCCGTATCACTATTTGATTTTAAGCATAACTTTTAAGAAAATAAAAAGAGCATATACATGTACATATGCACACTTTAGTACACAACGTAATTCAAATATAAGCTGTCCGCCCATCTTGTGACTGCAGTTATACGATAATTTCAAGTATGTTGTGACATTTTGTCGGGAGGAAATGCCGCTGGTGGCATAACAAATTGTAGGCTTAACCGCGGCGTTCGTCTAGTTTCCTCGATACATCAGCGATGTCGACGCTCTGGCCTTACGACGTGACATGGGCAAAAATACCGCAAGGACGAAGATATACGAGAATACGAGAGAGAGCGTGAGGACGAAGAGGTCGTTATCTCAATTAAATTGACCGACGCAGATTAGCGATATGAATTCTACCGCGTTCTAAATTTAATGCCACCGCCTAGCCGCGCGCGTTCGCCGCGATGCATAGAGCGCGGTTTACGGCTTGTTTGAAAAAAAAAAAAAAAAAAAAA